TCTGCAGTCCTGCAGCACTGCTGCCCTTGTTTGATAGTTGTCACATGTGAGGCTGGAGGAGGGGAATTGATTTGCTCAAGCTGCATTAGGATTAAGCATCAGGTGGCATTGCAACTTTAAAGTGTGGGCAGGTTCCTTGAGCTATTTTCCATCAATGTCAACTTCCTAAATGAAATAAATCCGAGGCTGCTTTTTTGGTTTTTTTTTTTTGTAACTCACCTGTCTCTGAACTAAAATATGTTCCAATTTGTTCTTTCTTGGTGAGATTTATACTGAGTTGCTTGGGAGAAGAGAATCACAGGGTCTCATCAAGCATTTCTTTATTCCTGCAGATTTTAGCCCTCCACAGCAGTGTCGTGTTTTGCCTCCCTAAGGCTGTTCTGTGCACCCAGTTAACTCGTGTAAGACTTTTTCTAGTCTCACAGGTGAACACAAAGGAAGGTTGTAAAGAAATAAAGAAAACAGTCTGAGGCAGGAACAGTGTACACTGTGGCAGTAGAGTAAGAGGGCTTTGCAGGTTTGAACCTTGGCTCAAGCAGCTGATGGTAAGGCATCTCCCAAAGCAGCTCCATTTCAACACTGTGGAACCTGAGCTCTGCAGGAACAAATCCCTACTGTGAAGGTCCTGCAGGTTTGCAGGCAGAGGGTTTGGAATCAGCAGACACTAAAGGCTCTTCTCTCCATTTCATTGTTTGTCAAGCTGTGCTTACACCAGGTCTATGAGCATCAGCTAGATGTTTGCCTGCAGCTCTTCCACGTTGACAGCTTCATCTGGCAGATGACTTGAGACCTCTTGGGCTTGACCAGTGACTGGAATGTGGGCTTGAACGAGAGGGTCTAGTGTCAGGGCTAAGTGTTGAAGGAGGCAGAGTTGGGCTCCGAGGCACCTCATGTCCTGTCAGTTCCTGTGCTGTCGTTAAGTTCCCTGAGCTGCTGATGTGACCCTTGAGTGCAGTTTGTTGCAGAAAGAAGTAAACTATGGAGGCAAATGGTGATTTATTTTCAAAGACTTAATTTTGTGTGTTTTAAAGTGCGTAGTTCAAGAGACCCTGTGTACTCTGCTGTCTGTACTGTGTTTCCTTTTCCTGCAGTGGGTGTCAACCTCTTCTATTTCTGCATAATTATCTACCTCTATGGAGACCTGGCAATCTATGCAGCAGCTGTACCAGTCTCTCTCATGCAAGTGACCTGGTAAGTGTGCTTACTGCTGTGGGGTTGGGTGCTAACACAGAAAAGAGCAGACTTTTGGATTTGATGGGGTGACTGGGATCAGCTCTACTTGCTGAAGAATGGAGTGAATAAATGACTCAAGGACAGCTCAGCATCACTCGTGGGTGAGAAGGTGAAGTTTTATATTGTCCACCTGAGTGCCTGCTGCCTGCCTGAAAAGTAGCTGACGTGATTTCAGATGAGTCCTCAGGTGTGAAGTACTTGCAGCTTCAACACCTGCAGACATGGGACTTGTTGCTTGATAGTTTGACTGCAATACTCTGTGCAGGATTTTAGCTTCTCTGTCTCTTTGGGTAAGAGCTGAGAGGTGTTTTGCTCACCAGCCTGTGACCAGGGAGTGGTGATGTTACATGGAATTAGCTCTGGACTGAGCCCAGTTCCTTTCTCAGCAAAACAGATAATGAAAGAGATTGGTTTGATCAAATCTGGGCTGGATTTGGACTCATGACTTGGAAATGGAAAGCCTCAGTGATCCATATGTAACCTAAACTTCCTAGTTTGACCAAATGATAAAGCTTGTAAATAACTGGAGGCAGTTCAAGACTTTGCCTTTAAATGTATGGTACTTGGTGACTTGCTCTGTTACACAGCCTAGAAAATAAAAGGACTGGGGTAGAGGAAGAATGGGCACTTCAGGGGTCTGGTCATTCTTCTGTCCTGAATGCAGGAGAGGGGAAGGCATCTACTAAGAGTTAATGACTGTCTTTTGTTTCTCCCTCCTTTCCCAGCAGTGCCACTGGCAACCATTCTTGCAGTGTTGGAGATGGCACAAAGTACAATGATACAGACAAGTGCTGGGGGCCAATTCGACGGATCGATGCTTACAGACTGTACCTGGTGAGTTTCTGAAACTGGGGTCACCACTATTCCCATTTAAACTTTGCTCCTAGTGGATAGGGATTCTTTTCCTGTAGAGATAGTGTGGCCCAAGTGAACAACAGAGGTGTGTTCAGTCTGATCTTTTTGGCCAAATACCCCCCTCTTTATTCTTGGTGACATGGCTATGTTTTAATTTGGTGGCCATCAGAATGATTCTGAGTTTAAGTGGAGTTCTGTCTTACTGTTGTGTAGTTCTGTATTGCTTTAGTAGGTGATATGTTCATGCCAAAGGGTGGGATTTTTTACCAGTGGCTGGCTAAGTAATTGTTGCTTAGAGGTAATTGTTGTCAATAGACTGGAATATATTAAACTCTCTTGAGTGCATTCTTTTTGTGAATCAAACTGTTTATGCTGCAAGAGAATCTGCTTCATGAGAGATGATGAAACAAACCACTTAAACAACATCCAGTGCTGTATGCTGCTTTAGTAATAGCTTTGTCTAGCTTAGGATTGTCTGTTGCATCTATTGCTGTGATTCTGTTGTGAAACCAAGATTTCTCCCAAAGGATGACAAACTGTGCTTCTCTTGAGCTTGGAGACGGTTGAGTGCTCATACCTGAAGACAGATGTTAGTAGGGCAAAATGAGAAGAGGGAGGTGTGCTGGTGCTGCATGATGTGGTTCTGTTAAGGGTCTCAATGAGAATTCTAGGAAAAAAAGAATGGCTGTGGCCATATGTGTGCAGAGAAATCCAGGGGTAAAGACTATCTAAAGCAATTTTGCAATTAGTACATTTTAGGCATGCAGGGGATCATATCCTTGAGTGCGCTTGTCCCAGCATTATTGAAAAAGTAAGAGCTGGGCCTGAGGAATATTAGTGAATGTCAAAGCCTTCTTAATTATTTAAGAGAAATATTATTGCTTTATTAAATTGTGTCATAGTCTGTTTCTTTAAAACTTCCAGAAGATGGAAGATTTCCTTCCTGAATTTCAATAACTCTCTCTGACCCAGCAGAAGGAGCTAGTCGGAAAAGGCAGACAGGCATTAATTACTGCCTGCATCTCTTGGATATTATGTCTATAATTCATGAAGATAATTGTTGTTAGGACTTGGAAAAAAAATAAATTAAGGCTGTGTAAGCATTAGACTTGCTGCCTGTGTACATCGCTCTCAGAGGAGCTTTTCCCTCTGCTTGTCTCCTCTTGTGTCTTTGGAGAATAAATATCGCCAAGTCTTTGGTAGTGGTTAATCCTTCCCTGCTCAGGAATTGAGATGAGTGTTTCGGTGCTTTTCTCCTGCTCCTCTTAGAAGTAGAGAGGGATTGTTTGTGGGAGAATATAGAATCATAGAATGGTTTGGGTTGGAAAGGACCTTAAGATCATCCAGTTCCAACCCCTCTGCCATGGGCAGGGACACCTCACACTAGATCATGGAACCCAAGGCTCTGTCTAACCTGTCCTTGAACACTGCCAGGGATGAAGCATTCACCACTTCTGTGGGCATCCTGTGCTAGTGCCTCAGCACCCTCACAGTGAAGAATTTCTTCCTTATATCCAACCTGGTTTTCCCCTGTATAAGTTTGAACCCAATATTTCTTGTCTTATCACTACAGTCCCTAATGAAGAGTCCCTCTCCAGCATCCTTGCAGCCCCCTTCAGGTATTGGAACATACCAGTCTGTGGTGGGTTACTGGAGGGGGGTGGTTGCCACAGTCACTATTTTCAGGACACTGCTGGGTGTTGGCATTACTTCCAATTTGTTTTTTTCTCTTAAGGTCTCTAATGCTTCTTCCTATGTGAGTATGGGAGTAAACTGGGGTTTGTTCTACTTCCAGCTCTGCCGGTCCCACTCCCTGCTTGAGTGTGTGGTTTTATTCTCCAGAAAACAGTGATGATGCTGGCTTCCCCTGAGAGGGATATCAAACATTGACACCGCAGTCCTGACACTGTCTTCAAGTATGGGCTGCCTCTGGGGAGCCTGTGCTGGTTAATATGTTCCCCCACTGTGCTGTTATCAACTAGCGACCAGTACATTGAGCTCTTAAACTTGGAGAAAAACCTGGGGATGAGAGGGTGGAGGTAGGAAGTTGCTTGACTTCAAGCAAAAAAATTAATAGCAGAACACTATAACTATCTCCAAAGACTTTGTCCAAGCTTCTTGTGTATAGAAGTGGAGTCTTGAACATGCAACAAAAGCTGAAACCTGCCTGTCTGAAGGGGAAAAGGCAACGTGTAAATGAGGGGTGAGATGCATCAGGAGCAAAGCTGTTCTTTTGGTCCCATATCATACCCATAGAGAACTTGCTCTGTTTTCTTGACCTTTTTATTTTTTGAATACTTGCTTGTTGGAATAATTCAAGTTCCATGTTCCAGTGGACAAACAAGGTCTCTTTTTGCAGGCTAAGTTCCCCTGTGGCAAGGGGACAGATGGACGCTGTGATCCCAAAAGAAAGAAGCTGAGTTTTTGGATCAGCCCTCTTGTCCTAGATGCCTGCCTCTAGTTTCTTCACCTCATCTTAGTAATGTATTTAGGTCTAAATGACTTTTAGGAGCAAGATGGGTGGATGTAACTGGAACCTCTTGCCTGTTACAGTGAAGCACATCTCTGGATGTAGTGTTACTTTTCTTACTCTGTGCATGACCCCACAAAACCCCTTTTTTTGGACTTCTAAGGAGAAATAATCTATTTGAGGTTTTCTGGGGAGATGGTGCCAATGGGAGCTCTGTAGTGCCAAGTACCACCAGTCTGCCAAAGGTCTGTGCTGCTTTCCTCCTGCTGACTCTTTCTCTCACAACGCTGCTCTTTTAGACAAAACCCATTTCAAACATTGACTCTTTGAGCTGGGGGTGGAAAGGGGCATAATGACTGATCTAAAAATCCTATTTCACGGTTTATTGTCCAAAAAGGCCTCTGGAAGCTGTGTCTGCTCTGATCACTGTGAATGGAAGCTGAAAACTATGTACATAATGAGAATATTTAGACAGATTAGATTCTTCTCTTGAGACTTGCTTGTCTGAGCAGCATCTTTATTGCTACTCCAAAATTTCACACCTAAGCGTGACTGCGCAGTCTTCAGAGACCACTAGGCCCCTATTAACCTTTGTCTGAACAAATGGTTGTCTTGCTTCTTGTTTGTAAATTGCCTTGGAAAATAAAGGCTTGCAAAACAAACAAGTGAAGGCAAGTGCAGGAAATACTGAAATAGGCTTTCACTCCTGCTGCTAATACTTGCCTCTTCTTTGGGACTGTAGGAGTAAAACCCTGTGGGTTGAGAACAGTCCGATAATTGAAGTATAATATAAAACTATTATTAAGAAGGGAAATAACAGGGGGAGAGAATATAAAACTAAAAAGGGAAGGGGAGAAAACCCAAACAATAGACACAAGTGATGCACAATACAATTGCTCACCACCCACTGACCGATACCCAGCCCAACCCAAGCAGTGATCTGGGCCTTCCGGGTGACTCCCCCCAGTTTCCACGCTGGGCATGACATGCTGTGGTATGGAATCCCCCTTTGGCCGGTTTGGGTCAGGTGTCCTGTCTCTGCTTCCTCCTGGCTTCTTGTGCCCCTCCTCACTGTCAGAGCATGAGAGACTGGAAAGTCCTTGATCAGAGTAAGTGCTACTGAGCAACAACTAAACCATCAGTGTGTTATCAGCATTGTTCTCAGACTAAAGCTAAAACATAGCACTGCACCAGCTACTAGGAAGGAGAAAAATCACTCTTACAGCTGAACCCAGACACCATCCTATTCCATGCTTTCGAGGGCAAGACCACGCAGGGCAAATTGGCTGGAAGAAAGGCATGTGTTAGATGGCTCAGTGACCTTGTTGAAGGCAAGCACTGATTACCGTTAAAGCGGATCGATGGCTTTCTGTCTTTGCTTCAGATCCCTCATCATGCTGTCATGTCCTCAGCAGCTGAAATGACTCCCAAGTGCCTTGGCTGTCTTGATGGCAATGGTAAGGACAGGGTCAAGTTCTCTCCATGCCGAATTCATGCTTCGGTGCAGTTTTATCAGCTTGCTTTGAGGTTAGATGGGTGTCTTCTGTATGGGCTGCGGGGAAGGGGCAGCAGATTTAAGTTTCAGATCTTTCATCATAATGCTTTCTTGTCTCTGTTCCAGTGATGCAGGAGTGTGACATGATAGTCCCTGTTTCTAGAAAGCAGCTATGAGATAAATATGAGATTAAATCCTGGGGACCAGCAGCCATTCAGAGTGTCTGGTCCAAAATGCATTCATGACCTGGCACACGGTGCTTCTCTTCTGCACCAGGGCAGCCGACGTAGCTAAAGCCTCTACTCTCAGCCCTCCTCTTCTGGCAGTTTGGGGCACGGTGTCTTCCCACGATGGAAAGGAAATGGCTTTAAACTATCAGGGGGAGCCGTACGCCTTTCAGAAGAGGCACTGGCACAGGTACTCCTGGTAGCCTGGCTCCGTGGTGTGTCAAAGCTACCAGGTGCATCTGTTCTGTCTGAGTCTCTGCTGGGTTTTTAGCTGATTGGGAAAGGGACGCGGCATCCGCTTTTGCTGGTTCACAGATGCTGCAGCATCGCAGGCAGCCCAGCGGGTGCAGGCCGAGCGAAGATGGGAGCGCAGATGGCTTAATGGAGATTATCCCAGTTGGAAACGTGCTTGTGCAGTGAATAAAATGAGCGGGCTCGCAGGCACTTACCATCCCTCTTCAGGAGGGGACAATGTCACCCCAGCCCGACGCTCTGATCACAATACCCAGTGACCAGAGCGGGGCCGGGCCGTGGCTGCGGGAGGCTGTGCAGGGGGGTGAGGAGGTAGTCTGAGGACACACGTACAATCGCTCAGTGCCAGCAAATGCAAAAGCTCAACTGATAAGTGTTGATGTAGATCCCGGCCGCCTCGGTGCGGTGCTGCTTTCCCGGCCCTCGTCGGCTGTAGGGCTGTGCTGCTGGTGTACGTGCTCTGCTTCCCTCCTCAGCATTTGTCCTTCCTGACTGGGCTGCACGTGTGTGTGCACCCCCCCTCCTCTGGGTAAAG